GGCAAATCGAATCTTTATTGATAATATAAAGTTTGACATTAAAAACTGAATTAGCATTATTGTAATTAATGTTGTGACAGATAACCGGTTGTGTTCACCCAAACTTGAAGACAATGATAGCTTATGCATCGTTCAAATCTGTGTATCCTAATAAGGATACAAGAAAGTTTGACAATGTAAAGCAAATACGTTTTGATCGTCCTAATGGTAAATGTGCTGAAGCTATCTATTTCAATGACGCATTTTTAAGGCATTGTGACAGGAATTTGTGGATTTTGGATGTACTTAACAATAATCATTCTCATGCTCTGTCCAACGATGTAATTATGTACTGTCGACCTGATGTGCACAGTCAGAGAAAATTAAGGAACACTCCTGTCTTTTTAGATAAAGCTTTGATTTTTGAGTTAAATATTATATATTGTATATCAAGGTGTTCTCTACAAAACAAGACCGTGCCCAGCTCTCCCTGATCTTTTTGTAGAAACAAACATTTAAGAAAAAGATCAGTAAGTGACGGTTACTTCATGTTTATTTTTAGATACCATTTTAAGCAGTATGAATAGCACGAACAGTGTCAATCATTTTTTTAATTCCTGACGTTTGTGGTCCAAGTTTATTAGCATAATTTATTGACGAATAACCCCACCAATTCCAACAACCATAAACATTTGATGATACTGTCGATGGTCGAATTCGTGGATACAATATAATTATTTTATTCAATTCAGCAACTTCATTATAACCAGCTTTTGTTGCAAATGTATTACCGATAAATGATTTGCCTACAATACATAGACAGAAGAAATCCTCTTATTTTGTAAAACAGTTGCGTATGTATCGAAAAAGTTCATTGGGATGGAAGAATCCCACGAAAATGGCAAAATTTGAGCTTTTCTATACAGCTAGAGTAACACAACAGATGAATATCACACAATACTTTACTCCCAGCATGAGACTAAATTATAGTGTTATAGTGTATTAACTGTCAAACTGAGGCTTATTTAGACCACTAGGGGATATGCTATAGTAGTAAAAGTCGCTTATAGAGATAGATATATAGTAGTCTTTCATGGCGCGAGAGTTTTGGCGTTGACAATAAAAATTTATTATCAGCAAAAGCGGTTGCAGAACGCGCACACGTCTGAGAGCGAGCTCTTGCACCTTATATAACGGATTTTGCTTCATTAAAATGGTTACACGACCAATTCAAAGTTTTGAGAAATAGAGAAGGGTTTATTAGTTTCAAAACATGAAAAAGCATTTTTGGTTGTACAAGGTGACCGGAAGCCACTAGGTGCCCTTTGATTACTATTAACCCTTGGCCCGTTCATGTAAATATATTTTTGTTTATTTTATCTTTCATCGAATTGTTTTGTTTAATCTTTATAAAGTGCATCATTTTAACTTGCACGTCTCGATGACTGAACGTGTTGAACATTTTCAGCCGTGTAGTACACGTGCAAGTTAAAATGGTGCTTTTAAATCAAAAAGGTTTGTAAAAATGACTCTTGAACCCTTGAGATGTTCAATTTTAAAACAATCACACTCGGAAGCGGTTTTCATGTTATAAAACTGATGAATTCTTTCTTTTTCTCCAAAACTATGCAATGGTCTTTTAGCAATTTTAATAAACCAAAACCGGTGTTTTGCACGAAAAAAACATTCGTACGTCTTTTTTGCCTTGTGTTTAAAACTAGAAATTTGCTAGGATTCTAGGAT